CGTGTGTCTGTGCATGCGTGCGTGCGTCTGTGTGTGTACGTGCGCTCGCGTGTGTACACGTGTGTCTGTGCATGCGTGCGTGCGTCTGTGTGTGTAGGTGCACTCGCGTGTGTACACGTGTGTCTGTGCATGCGTGCGTGCGTCTGTGTGTGTAGGTGCACTCGCGTGTGTACACGTGTGTCTGTGCGTGCGTGCTTGTGCGTCTGGGAGGGAGAGAGAGCGTGTGCTAGCACTGCCTGCACATACACCACCGTTGCTACTACTAGGCAAGGTTAGCTCATGAAATTGGTCTAGATAAAACGTGCACGAGTACTGGGGGGTAATCCGAAAACGAGTTGGGATGTCGAAGCTGGGGGTCAAAGGTCAAAGGTCAAGAGGTGTAAAAGAAGGGGGAATATTCCCTCCTTAACTTAAGGTATAGGGAGGAAATTCAGAATTGCGGCACAAATCTAAACGGCTCGACCTAGGCTCGTGATAGTCGGTGTATAGCTTCATGGTAGGAAAAGCCATCACTGTGCCGAAATTGGAGTTCACAGGTGAAAGGGCAGTGGGGGAAAGGTCAGATATCAGACATTTTCTGAGGACATGGGCTAACGGACAGAGTGAAAAACTTTTTTGTGAAGTACAGTGTCTGTAGGTTAATAATCATTGCAGAAATTCGCCGAATGTATGTGTTATGTGGTCCAATACTGAATACACTCAAAGTCAAATCGCTGTAGTAGAAAATGAGTGTATAGATCTAGATCTAGTTAACAAACATTGCCACTGAATTGTTTTACTGTTCACCTCTCAATCGGGTTACTATTATTAATAACTAGGCCTATTATCTCTGCTGGGATAATGATGTACGTCTAGATTAATGTCACAGAGACTAAGACAGTTGACCTGCACATAAGTCATCTGTCACTAAATTTAATATTGAAGTCTTCACCATTAGGCATTAGCAATATCAGATCATGTAAGACAAATTATTCAAAGTAAAAAGTGTCTAAAGTGATTCGTCGTGAGGATCAACCTATAACTTAAGGTTTTGATCTATAGGGAAGTGCTAAAACCGCACGGGTGGTTTCTCGGAGTTACACTAATGCTAGCTTCTGTCAGTTATAAGCACTATAATTAATATTTTCCTGATTTAAATTTTTTTACTTCCTTCCAAACATCATGTAAAGCTGGGTTTACACTGCCAACTTTGAGTTGGCGAGTTGCCGAATTATACCAACTTCCCAATGCGCTATCAACCGATCTATGAACTGTGCAGCGCGTTTACACTGACGACTGCGAGTTGGCAACTCGAGCGAGCGGTCAGACTCGACCGCGAGCGTACATGTGGAGCGATGGATATCTATAGGCATTATTGCATGTATAAATTCGCGCCAGGCATAGCACGTGTGAGAGTTTTGTGAAGCCTATTAAAAGGCATCTGACAGTTCTGTCTATTTATGTTGCAGAAATCAGAATATATATGAGAACAAATCTATCTGTCATCAAAGACATCAGCGCAGATGCCAGACACCATATACATGTACATGTACACCATATACATCGCTGCACTCGGCCATTCAAGCGCACTCACAATTTATTTTATCGCTTTCTGCCTCTTGTCCCGGTCTCTATATTCAGCCTTGTCTACATACCACATGCATTCAGCCTTCTCATATACGTATATGAGATTTGCCTTCGATTCATCAGAGCATTCCTGGGCAGTCGACTCGCCGTTGACAAATTCTAGACTCAGGCGAGAAAAACACTACTATGGCACCAGAGATTACACACCATTACATCAGACTCAGTGGCGGATTTAGGGGGGTGGATTGACAAATATAATAGTCGCGCAGATACCTGCATGATACATGCATGATATGATGCGTGGGTTAAATTATGTAATTCATTGAATGGCAAAGCAGAGGTCACAACCCTTTTGCAGCTTTTTTAACAATTCCAAGAAAGAGTTTTGCTGTTGCCCTCATCCCCACGGCGGTCAACACAACATATTTAATAAATGACACATTCGCATATGACACATATTCACATTCATGTCTCCTGAACACGCCTCTGGTAACAACGCGGTTATTTTTTCTTTCTTGGTTATTATTAACGCGGTTATTATTATAATAGATGCTGTTATTATCGTCTGGTAATAAGTGGTCACAGCTGGCATGCCTAAAGACAGCGGCTGTTCACCGCTGCATTTGTGTTAATTAAACAACGTAGCCGGCTAGGCCTATGAGTATGATGAAAAATTGCAGTTTGCTGTACATATGTCTGTGAGTTCAGCAGGCGGGCTTTTTGCATGACGTTTATGTTGCCAGCACACTTCCCGGGCTGACTGAAGCCAGCAACTGGCTTCCACTGTTTACCCAGAAGGTCTGCCAGATAAGACTAAACCATAGCGGGTGTGAGTAGAGGGGGAGAGAGGGATGCTGAGATGAGGTGGGTGTGAGTAGAGGAGGAAAAAGGGATGCTGAGATAAAGTGGGTGTCAGTTGAGAAGGGGGAAGGAATGTTGCAAAAAAGTGTGTGTGCGTAGAGAAGGGGGTAATGTTGCGAAAAACTGGGTGTGAGTAGATAAGAGGGGAGGCACCTCACGAAAATGTGTGTGAGTAGAGAAGAGAGGAGGAATGCTAAGAAAAAGTGGTTGTGATTAAAGGAGGGTATGCTGAGAAGAAGTGTTCAACCGCACTACAGCGACAAACGTCTGATTACATCAATGTTAGCAGTATTTTTTGCCTGAACACGTCGTTAGTGTGCTGACAGGGGGCCGTATAATGAGATGCGTAACCTCGGCAGACATTACTGAGACATTGCATGATGCAATATACGCGCGTTGAATTAGCACACGTAATGTTCCGCCAGCATCTGTTTGAATCAAATGAATGCATTATTAATAAAGGCAGATCTGCTGAGCTGCTAAATAGATGACATTGTGGGCGTGCAAAATACGTCATCATCAGGGTGCCATAATAATGATATCCATCTGGACTTCGGCTAACACAGATCGCCACTGTGTTCTATCGTTCGTCATATATGTAAGAGACCGGCAGCAGTATGTCCCCCTCCAACATTCCTCACCGGACTGTCCATATATACTTTCACCGTGGTCTCCCTCTGGGTCTTCTACCTTCGATCTTGCCAGTCACACATACACTCTGCAACTGCTGCTCTCATTATATGACCCAAGAAGCGAAGCTGTCTCTGCTTCATCTGTCTCAGCAACTATCTGGATGTTTGCATCTTGGGTTCATTTCTGGATGTTCGAAATACTTGAAGCGCTATGAAATCTTTGCGACCAGGAATGAAATGGTTGTCACGTGTGAGACCTTGTGAGTGGAATTATTACTTACTCTTGCATCTCTGCAATAAACTGATGTATGCAATATCTGATATAGGCTTTAGAATGGGAGAGAATTATGTCTTTGTCGTACTTGCTGACCTGTGAATTGTTACCGAAATAACCTGTAGGTGCCCACCCCTACGATTGCGGATTAGTACACGGTCCAAGACATAATCGACACGTGTGCGGTGTGGTAAAGCTTTCTTAATTTGCAGTTGAGGTGTAGAGGCTGTTTTTGTTGCTCTGATTTATTACTGCTGTAGTATGGCCATTGGTACTGTATTGTTGTAGGGAGTTGCCTGCGAAACTAGAGCAGAATGTTATTGTTCATTGTTGAGCATAACTGAGCTGTGTGAAAGTGAACGCTGTATTTGCCCTAATTTATTCGCCCGTCCGTTGAGCTGCTAACATTCTGTCCTAATTCCAACTCGTTCCTCTATCCGTGCAAACGTTCTAGTTAGCTGCTAATGCTAGAGTTAAGTAGGTGAAGTTCTCAAAATATCTGCTCACACTGTGTGACTGCAGGGTGCAAAATTCCTGGTAGTGCAGTAGTCCGGAACTATCACATTTACTCAAGGACTTATATAAAAAAAGTTTATATAAAAAAATTGCTACTTACTATATAAATACACAGACTGTAAAGTCTTGCTTACATGAATTCGTTGTTATTTGTAAGATTAAACCAAAAAATTCCTGTGCTGGACTAGAAACTGTGATCATGCTAATGAAAGTTTCATTCACCATTGATCAGTATTTTATGCTCCTTGCCAAACATTCAAGGCCTCTGTTCCACATGTCTCCTGCCGACATCCGCGTGATTTTTAATGTCGGGACTGAAAATTCAATGGGTTTACGAAGTCAGTCGTGTGTTAGACTGTTAGTAAAGAAGTTTGTAAACCAGCAGGCATATATAAAGAAAAGCGATCAGTGTAATTGCTATATTCCAACGTTGGGACGTTGGGTTCTAATAGGTTTTTGTTTGTTGCAGTTAAACTGCTTTTTTTCTGCGGGTAAAACGGTGGTTCAATGATATTGATTTTTTTGGGACAGTAGGAACGCGACAAGGATGAGAAATACGATTATATGCATTAACATGTTTTAGACAATTAGTGTAGTTAGAGAAACAGTGAAACGTAGAACCAGCGACATGCTCGTGTGAATGAGAGGTGATATCAGTACAGAATATTGATCATCTGATGTAGTATATTCCCATGGGATTTATTTACACAGAACCTTGTGAACGACTAGATTGTGCCATTTGCTTTGGTAAAAATAACTAAGAAGTATGGCCTTCAACTCTGGAGATTAGATTTGTATAAACAGTAAATGAGCTTTCCAAGATTATTCTAGATAAATATATGGATGAAAAAATAATAACGTCGAATCAACTACCTGTGTTAATCTGTTCAAATTCGAATGTACGTGTCGTAGTAATGGAGCCACCCCTAAAATTGCAATAGTTAAAAAGAGATTTGTCAAATTTATTCAATAGAAGCAGTTGTTGTGTTCACAGGTAACTCTCGAGTACTTCTATTGCAACACTGGATTTGGCCGATGATCTCAACACTATGGTTACATAGCTCATGAATAAGCGATCACCTGTGAGCGGAATTGAGGTATTTGCATGTTAGTAATGCACTAATGCTGCATGCTTGATTACTCTCATTCTCCTGTGAACATAAAGCTGCGTTTAAACTATCAACTTTCTGTTGAAAAATTGACGAGTTATATTATTGCTTGCAGACTATTCTTACCTACTTTACTTTCACGATAATTAAACACATGTCAGTGTCGCGATACACGTCTAAAGGTGGTAAATGTTACTGACGTAAGCGATCGTTTTGCCAGTTCAGCCGCGACTCGATTCGCCCTCCCCCGCACGAGAGCCAGGCGCGTCAGTGTCTGCTAGCGGAACCTACCGGGTAGATGCCAGCTGCTGACAGCATGGTGTGTACGGCGGTGATTGGGGAGGACGCCGATAGCTCGTTGTCCGAGGAGAGTTCCAGCGTGTTGGTTGATGTGGACGTGAAGCGAAAATATCGCACCACTACCAGTGTCAGGTAAGCTCAGTGCCGTATACTTCACGCTTGGGCTATATTGTGTAGCGGCTTTTATAGGGGCATTAGTTATATATAGTAGTGGTGTTGAAGTCCTAGTTGGAGATTCGGTTCATTGTCACTGTTGTTGCAATGAGCTTTGCAAACATCTTTAGTGCCTGGAAATAATTTACTTTTCCTGTTTTTGATTATTAGAGTGGTTAGTTTTGCTTGAGATCACAAACCTTTTATATCGAAATGCCCTTGTGGGCCGGAAGAAGAACAGAAAGCAGGAAAGATTTACATTTCCTGTTTTTAGCTCATCTGACATAGTCAGATGCAGCTTGTAGAATCGCTTGATCGTCCGTCCGTCCGTCCGTCCGTGCGTCCGTCCGTCCGAGCGTCCGTCCGTCAACAGTTGGGCACAAATCTTAACCGCTCGACGTACGGTCACGATATTCGGGTCGTTGGGGGGGATCATCAAAACGAGTTGGGATGTCGAAGCTGGGGGTCAAAGGTCAAAGGTCAAGAGGTGTAAAAGAAGCATTGCTAATGCTCACCAAGCGGCGAGAGAGAGAGAGAGAGAGAGAG